AAGCTACCGAAACACTACTGGCGATGGCTAGCCGCCTTCAGCCAACAGTTAGCCGACCAGCTACCTCCGCACCGGCCAGGAATCGATCATAAGATCCCTCTGAAACGCGACCGAAACGGTTTCGAAGAGCCACCACCATATGGTCCTCTCTACGGCATGAACAAAGAGGAACTTCTTTACCTACGGAAAACGTTGACAGACCTACTCGGGAAGAACTTTATACGGGTGAGCCAATCACCTGCAGCAGCACCAATCTTGTTAGTTAGAAAGCCAGGTGGTGGCGTACGATTTTGCGTTGACTACCGAGGGTTAAACGAACAAACGGTGAAGGATCGCTACCCTCTACCGTTGATTCGCGAGACGCTGCGGAATATGGGGCACGCCCGCTGGTTCACGAAACTCGATATCATCGCAGCTTTCCATAAGATCCGCATTCACCCCGGAGAAGAATGGAAGACAGCATTCCGGACGCGATATGGGCTCTACGAGTGGAACGTTACCCCGTTCGGATTAACAGGCGCGCCGGCGACGTTCCAGAGGTACATTAACCAGACTCTGCGAGAGTACTTAGATGATTTCGTGTCGGCATACGTTGACGATATAATCATCTACACCAACGGAACGCTAGCGGATCACCGCCGAAAGGTTGGCGATGTGCTACAGAAACTAATGGACGCGGGTCTACAATGCGATATTGCGAAATCGGAGTTCGAGCAGGGCTCAGTGAAGTATCTTGGCTTTATCGTCGAAGCTGGAAAGGGGATCCGCGTTGACCCAAAGAAGGTAGAGGCTATCAGAGCATGGGAGAGGCCGAAGTCTATACGAGACGTGCGAAGCTTCATTGGATTTGCGAACTTCTACCGACCGTTTATACCACGATTCGCCGACCTTTCGGCACCGTTAACACGGCTAATGAAGAAAGACGCTATTTTCAAATGGGACGATGACTGCCAGCAGGCCTTCACGGAACTGAAAGAGCTCTTTATAAACGCACCAATCTTAGCACACTTCGAAGAGGATCGCCAAACAGTCGTGGAAACCGACGCTTCTGGATGGGCAACTGGGGCGGTTCTATCGCAACGTGGCCCCGACGGACAACTACGGCCATGCGCCTACCTATCCCAGAAGCTATCTCCAGCAGAGTCAAACTACGAGATTCATGATAAGGAGCTTCTAGCGATTATACGCGCCTTGCGCGAATGGAGACCTGAGCTGAAAATGGTGCCTAGATTCACCATCGTAACAGACCATAAGAACCTTCGATACTTCGGCAAAGCACAACACCTGAACGAACGGCAAATGCGTTGGGCAGATCTCCTAACAGAGTTCGATTTCGACCTTCGTTATCGCCCTGGCAAGCTTGCAGTAAGGCCGGACGCATTATCACGACGGAGCCAGGATATGCCTAAGAGTATCACTGACGAAAGGCTATCGAATCGCTTCCGAATCCTACTCAAAAGGGTCAAGATCAAAACAGGACGGCTAGACCCTCAACCAGCCGACGACCAACCTAGTGAGGGGATTGACTTTGAAAGAGATATCCCTCTCTTTGAAGAACCAGAACTACAGACGGAATGGAAAAGAGCAAGGGCGTCCGACTCGATCTACCAACGAATCTCCTACGCTTTGCTAAAGGGAGAGCGCCGAATTGCTGCCGAAACGAACATTAAAACAAGCCTATCTGAGTGCCATCTAGACGATCGGGGACTGCTCCATTTCAGACAACGGATCTGGATCCCTGATAACGAAGTCCTACGCACGGGAATTATACAGAAGATCCACGATTCACACGTCACAGCGCACCCAGGACGAGACGCTACCTATTCGATACTATCTCGACGGTTTTTCTGGCCAGGGGCAGCGAAGGACGTACGACGTTTCCTTCGTAACTGTACAATCTGTGGACGGAGCTCAGTATGGCGAGACACAAGACATGGGTTATTAAAACCACTACCAATTCCCCAGCGAATCTGGGCCGAAATATCAGTGGACTTCATTACCGGGCTACCACCCTCAGGATCCACGGGAGCAACAAACTGTATGGTGATAACAGATCGGTTGACAAAGGGCGTGATTCTAGTCGGAATGAGGAATACAACAGCAGAGGATGTAGCAGAGGTGTTCCTCACACACTTCTATATGCATCATGGGGTACCACTAGCGATTGTGAGCGACCGCGGCCCCCAATTCGTGAGTTCTTTCTGGGGAAGGGTATGCGAAAGGCTATCGATTCAACGCCGATTATCCACTGCTTTCCACCCCCAGACCGACGGTGCAACAGAACGTGCCAATCAGGAGATCGAACGAATTCTACGTGTGTTCACGACGTACGCACAGGATAACTGGAAAGATCTACTACCAATAGTCGCAGTGGCAATTAATAATCGTGATGCCGCTTCAACAGGAATCTCGCCATTCTTCTTCACCCACGGCTACCACATTGACCCGATTGGTATCGACGAAGCAGGGCAGCTACAGGACGCCCTGACCCAACCACGAAAGACAGGCGAAACCTTCGTGAATCGCCTACGAGAAGCCACCGATTGGGCCCAGGCCGCTATTGCTTCTGCACAGGCCCTTCAAGAAGAGCAAACGAACCGACGTCGACAGGCTGCGCCTATCTATAAGAAGGATGACTGGGTTTGGCTAAACCTTCGGAATGTACACACGCAGCGACCGTCAAAGAAGTTAGATTGGCTACATGCTCGATACCGAGTAGTAGACGTTCCGTCACCGTTTACAGTCCGACTCGATGTGCCTACTGGTATACACCCAGTGTTCCACATCGAGTTAGTCCGCCCAGCGGCAACGGACCCGTTCCCATCCCAAGTAGTGGACGATTCGCAGCCACCACCGCTGCTAGTCGACGGGGAGGAGGAATACGACGTTGAGCGAATCCTAGCTATACGACGGAGGAAGATTGGGCGAGGATATCGTGACGAAGCGCTAGTGAAATGGAGAGGATGGGCGGAACAGACGTGGGAAAGACTAGACTCGGTCCAAAACTGCAGCGCGTTGGATGCCTTTGAGGAGCAATACGGCCCCGTTTCGGATGTGATTCGCCAACAAATCGACACCGGAACCCATGTCGTCGTACCCCTAACGAAGTTAAGGCTAGGAGGGGGTATTGTCACGGGCTGTTGCCCGATATTGGTCACGTGTATCACGGAACCTTGGCATGTTGACATGGAGAACACGCGGGACGAACCTTTCTTCCCTAAGCTTTTTGTAAACAGCATGTTGGCCTAGTTAGATTGAATTAAGTCTTACTTCAGCCCCTCACATCATCCATTGGTTGGAGATGTATTGTATAGCTTCAGCAAAAACCTCGTGTTTGAATTCCTCCTGGAAGCTCTCCCAAGCAGTCTTCATCTCAGCTATTGTAGGTGCGAAGATGACTTGGTTAAATAGCTGCTTTGCGCTCTGCCAACGCTCCGTAATTTCATCTCGCGTATCCCCTTCCCTCTCAAGATAGACTAAGATATGCTGAGCGATCTTTGGTCTCAATCTCTTCTTAATATTCTTCTGGATATGCCATATGCAAAGGAGGGCGATTGTAGTAGGAAACACCGTTGCTAGGGTAGCTAAGAGACTCTCTGTATCGTCCGAAAATGTAGTGATAGGAGGCGGGATTGAACGGGAGTGTAGAAGATCTCGAAGGGTTTCTAAAACCTATTGGTATGAACCCTCTCTCTCGTTAGAGACGAAAGCGCATGCCACATAGAAGGTCCCGCTAGTTGCCGATCTTCCCACAACGTTGACCATAGGCATCTTGTAACAATTCGTTTTGTATGTGGCATCAATCCAGAGTACGGAGGGAAATCTGGTAAGAAGCTCAAGGCCAGATTGAGAGGCGCAGAAGATATGCTGAGCCTGGTTCGTACCCCTATCCACCTCCTTATGGAAGACCTCCCAACCTTCTAAACCTGCAAGAAGGGCTGCTGTAGGTGAGCAGCCCTTAAGTAACCGGCCCCTTACACGGCGGCGGAGGTTCTTTAGGTCTCTTGTGTTAAGGCGAATACGGGCTTCGTAAGGGTCCTCGGTATCAACTGGGCCTTCAGCAAAGGCTTCCTCTTGGCGTAGGATATTGATAACCTCCTGGTTCGAATGCCTTAGTAGAAATAGCTTCTCTACCCTCTCCTTAAGCTCCTTTAGCTGGCGGCGGCGGTGTATAGGATGTGTAGATGGCTCTGAGGCTATATGGCCACTGTGAGAGCCCTCCTGCACCGTAAGAAGCCAGCCTCCTGGGGCCCTGCCTAATTTAGCGGCAAAGTGGCAGCCACAGCGGCGAGAGACCGAGATCCGGCTACTATCCTCGGGATTGGTAGGTGTAGGCTGGCCACTACGATCGCAGTGAAGGTCAACTTGCCAGTTGTTCGAATGGGCAGTGGTAATAGCGTATCCCTGGTGGGCGGCGAATTCGTTGAGGATATCTCGGGCTTCTCGGCTGGTTTCGACCTCGATTAACCAGTTGTCACGGGGGGTAAGAGGGCCATCTTGGATAGGAGGGTTGAAATCCTAGTGGATGTGATGGATTTGTGCGATTTTAAAGGCTTTTAGGACCTGTGGTAAAGAGAGATTAGTAGGAGAACGCTAGATTAGGGGGACTTACATGTAGAAGTGTAGGAAGGGGTATGTGTTACTATGGCTAATTGGAATGTATAGGGTCAACATAAACAACCACCCGGTTGGGTCACATGATCACATGATATCGGCGTCTATGATCGCCGACGACATTCGATTATTTACGAGAAGCGCTTATGTATAGGGAAATACATACATAAGGGCTTGGCAAGTATTATACAGCTGTCGAATGTATCATTTTGGGTGATGCGGGAAGGATACCTAGTTAGGACTAGTGGCATGCCAGGTTTCGTGCCATGGCCCGATATCTTCGTGCCATGATCCTCATCCTTTAAATACTGCTAGTTCCTTCCTTTGCCCAGAGGGATCTGACAGATACCAATATCAATCACCAAAGAAAAAGCACAATATCAAGCATGAAGACCTCCCAAATCGCATTTTGTGCCCTCCTCGTCTTAACCTCGGCCCAGAATGCCGTTGTGAATAATCACTGTACTGAGTCTGTCTATATACAGTCATTCCCGTATGACGGTAGCGCCCCTGGCCCCCTCACCACCGTTCCTAATGGGGGAACTTTCTCTGAATCATTTAGATCATCTGGCTCGGTTTGTTACTCTTTCCTATGTGCTGTTCCTATTACTTCATATGGCGCAGCAAACTGACTGGGAATAAAATATGCAGACCGTTAAGATAGCCAAGACAAAGACGCTAGATATGCCTCTCTTCTTTGGTTACTCGTTCTCATCCAACCCCGACTACGCTTACTGTGAGTGGAAGTAATCTATCTCTTCCTGGAATACCTTATCTAACCTTATAATTCCTCAAGATGAACTGAGCACGGAGTGGGGTAACCCGTTCGCAGAAAGTCCTAACTCGCTTAGTCCCGGTGACGGTTGTGAAGTCTTCGACTGTGCGGCAAATGATGCCGCCTGCTACAGCACCCCGGCTCACAAGAAGGTCTATGGGTGCCCCCAGCCAGTCAATTTGATGGCAGACCTGTGCCAGTAACTATGTAGCCGACACATGGCAATATGCTAGTGTCACGGGGACATCTATCAATTTTTTTGTCATTATTACGACCTCCTGCAGCCCGCCGGAATGATAAATATGTGCGAGAATGACAGAACCCTTTCGTAACATTTAAATAACGTGCAGTCAATAGGAGAATATGAAGGACACCGTTAACAAAGGAACTATATGATCTATATAGAAAAGGCTTTGATTATTCTAAAACAGGACACACTCGCGATATCATCGTACCTAACCGTATATTCTAAGGCCAATAAGTTGGTATTACTGTTCGAAATAATTAGATTGGTCTATCCTTAGCTCTTTCCGCTGCTTCCAGAACTTGCTCTTGTTATGACCTCTTTAATTGGCCGATAAATGTTATGCGTAGGACATGGGACTTGGGACGACTTCCCAGCGCCAAATGTCGGGGTTAAATGCATGTAAGAATAATATGGAATTCCTTCACAAATGAGACGAAAGTACATACTTACCTAGTACATGTAGAGAGGCGTCAATGTACACACACATATATATCTATATATATCCAGACTCTCCAATATGTCGCCCTTATTCAGGGCATGGGTCCTGCGCCACAAAACATTTCCTGACTTACGTTACAAGATACAGTTCTGTTTCCGAAGTCATAGTACGTATATTTGCTTTTGTTACCATCATATCTGCCGTCAAATTACCCAACTATCATTTCTAGAAAGGCAAGATATTAAAGAATCCGAAAGATTTAGAAGACGTTGTCGCCCTAACATACCAGATTATGCATACCGCTTCATCATTGTCAACAGACTTGCAGGAATTGACTATGATTATTTAGCACGATAACGATTAATTAGTTTGGTAAATACATCAAGAGTCGTCAGAATCGTCATGTCAGGTAAGTTCGGCATTCCCGGATATCATTATTCATCGGGTGGTGAGCTTCGTAGAGACAATTTATCGGGCTTGGCCACCTCAAAATTTTGATCCGACTTACCGAGTCTGACTGGTAAGAGCTGTTTCAAAACATAATTTAGGGTATTGTAAGATCTATATATTCCTAGTGAAACAGTTCTGCTTCAGTCCTTCACAGAATCCCCTAATTCTATTCTCGTAGGATACTATTATAGCACTAGAAATATTACCAGGAAAGAAAAAAATCAAAGTGAGAAATTCGAATCTCCCACGCCTTTTTTTAGAAAAAGAAAACAAAAAGGTCTAAAAATATATTGTAGCCATTAACTGAAGTTGGTCACGACCTCGGTTGGGAGGCGATAGGTACGTGATTGTTTAGGACACCTCGGGATGATAAACTGTTCTTAATCACGAATTTAAAATACAATTTCATCTCTATAGACACGATAATTAGACTATGGTCTTACACTAGTTCCTTTATAAAGGTATTGTATACCTAGATACGGTAGATTTAGTCTCTATCGCCACGGGTAAATTTTCGTCTCTTAACTACAAGATGACGGTAGGGTCCTATAGGCCCTCCCTGGTTATTATAAGTCGAAGAATCTTCAATACTCTAGCCCTTAGCCAGCAGTTTAACGCATATATATACTTAAAATATTGCCCTAACCATACCGTCTTCGAGAGTGAATTCCGAAGGTGTAAAATGTTGTGTAGTAGAAAGTGTTATACATTTCTTCGGTAATGTCTAACGCCTTTAGCATGAGCCTATCCTAAATAGAGAGGGACTGTGCCACTTTTGAGATGCCGTTGGTGGTAAAATAGGAGAGTTCCAATATAAGTAGCGTGCATGTGATATGTAGGCAGTCTTAACAGCAGCTGTAAAACTCCGAGGATCCCAGATTACGCCGTGGGAGCGCCGGACATAGTAACTTTCTTTTTGAACAGGAAAAACTACCTAAATGTTGGCGGTTCCATTATAATAGTTAACCATAACGACTCAACGGTGAGGCCCATATACTGGTTAGAAAAGTTTCACAACTTTCTCCTACAGTACACTAGGCGATCTGCAAATATCGATCCGTAAAGGAATACTACCGCGGGACTAAGAAACTAGTATCACGTGTATTTCCGAATAATAGCAACTCCAGTTTATTTATTAGGTAGAGTGAATCAAATTTAACGCTAAGTGTCTCCTTAGATCTTATCTTTATTATTCATTCATTTTTCTATTTATTACCCTCCAGAATTATCCCGACACGCGTGCGTTATCTCTTTAGTTGAGGAGCCCTTAACGGCCCAGATAGACTCAATTTCCACTTTATGCATACGGGATACCTTTTAGACTACAGGACTATACTAGGCGTATAGTTAGACGATTGAATTCGAAAGAATTCATAGTATGTTTTCTTTATAGCTCTCTTACATTATTAAGGGTATATATGATTACTAGCTCCAAAAGGCTTTCGGTCTAGCATTTTATATTCCATTTCCGGCAGAGACAGCTCCTATTGCGTGAGATTTTACTCCTGACTAAAAGAAATAGCCAGAAGTAAGAACATCGGTAATATTACAACGAGCGTCGTGTTTATTCTCACTTGGCTAAACCAGTCAGCAGAATCTCAGATGGTCAACTCTGGCAGATGGTACATGATGCATTTTATGAGATGACCACGGAGATGGGGCGATACGGTGTCAGATTACCCAAGGACGTATCTACCGGCATGACCGTTCTTGCTTTCGGGAACGAAGTTATTTTCACTTCCACGATAAAAGACTTAGGGATGTTTGCGTACAATTATCTGGAGAGATTAGTCTCAAGGTCTCTCAAGGTCTGTCAAGCTACCTGGGAGGCTAATGGTGGAACGGGGGGTGAAATGCACAAAGGTTAGGGGAGTTACAGTGAAGTAATAGCTGTTTCGCTATGCTAAACTATTCATGATACTCCTCTAGCTAGACGGAGAGTAAGAGTCGGTATAGTTCTACTCCTAAAGGCGACTTAGGAGCTCGAGAAAACCCCTCCCTGTAGGATAGGATGAAATGTGGGTGAAGGCTATTTCTATTCGATTATCATGATATTAGGACTTAACTAATATTACCCTATGATATTTAGGGGTGTAACCTGCTTATGGCACACGAGGATTTCACCGTGCTAGATAGGAATATTAACTCGGAGTTATATTATCTAAGGACTCTTGTAGGAGGACTGGATATTGTTACCAGATCCAGAAATACGGTAGCCCTATAACACGCTAGACTCTAGTGTTACGCGGTGCCTGCTAGTCACTGTGAGTAATGCGTAAAGGGCGGTAGTCACCTTAGTCGTAGTTATAAATAGGTTATCTATAATAAGGGTATATACTAAGACGGCTGATTCTAGCCCTATCGGCACTTTCGAATTCTTAGAGTATCTCTTAATCATACCGTTGCCTCGCAAGGCCTTACTACGGGTTAGATCCTATTGAGTATCCTACAGAACGTGCTAGAGTACGCGCCAAGTAAGTTAATTACTAAGTATCGCTACTAAGTAAATCCCCTACTTATAGGTTAGGTTATCTTCAAGTGAACCGTAATAAAGTAGAATCCGAAAGGTAGTAACTAAGTAATAATATATAATTAATCGCGAAGAACTAAATATATAATACTTAATAAATATTCTCATATATCTAGTCATTCCTATCGGGTAATAAGTCCTAGCTTATCGCCTAATAAGTTAGGCTTATAACTTAATAAGTCCTATCCTTAATAGGATATCCTCACGTATCGGGGCGGCCGTTTCCTATATCTCACTAACTATCGGTAGAGGAAGCAAGTATTATTTATAACGGTTAGTCGTAGATCGTTTCTAGCCCCCGCCCTAAATACCTACCTTAGGGCCTTTCTAGGGCTCACCTAAGTATACCGAAATGTACGTGATAACGCTACTCGCTAGCGTCCGTAGAATGATTACTTCACGGTTACTCCTTAAATAGCTACGGTACCCGCGCCTTCTTAAGGTCCGTAATATCTAGACGTTGATAGAGCCTCTAGATATTTCAGATACGATAATTTAGGAAGTAGTATTGTCTATATATTGTCTAGCACTAATTTATCTATCAAAAGAATTATTTATATAGAGCTAAAGTATCCTTATTTAGGTCTTAGGTATTATCATCGTTCACATCCTCCTCTATAGCTCATAATTATGTATAATATCTGTCAACATATGGACCTTGTGGTGTCATGTGACGAAAGACCCACTACCCCTCATTACTTCTGGATCTTCATCTATAAGATCTATCGAGATTGGTCCTCAACATTCTCGCATTGAATTGCCTACCTAGGCAGGAGACTATTTAACACTCCAATTTCTTACTATTTCATGTGACCTTTTATCATGTATCTTGAGATATAAATACTGCTATGTTTCCTAGTCAGAATTGAATCAAGTTTATCATCCCTTTTGATCTCTCTTCTAGATCGGTGGTACTCTTCCACAATCGTGGCACTTCTTCGTATTTCTAAGAAGTACGCACGACCTCTATACTCACAACCGTGTAATCAGACACTACATTAAGTCCTATCCCACCACTAATTTATGGTCACCGCCTAAGGTCCGATAGCAATAATTGAAGAGAAATTTATGTGCCAGACAAAGGTTGTGCCGGATGATGTTCTTAGATATGAGAAAACTCAAAAAAGCGGGTCCAAGCTCAAGATTTTGGTGTCTAATGGAAATATGTGCCTAACCTGGGCGTGCCAAAAACGGGAGTTTACTGTGTATCTACATCTTATGATCTTAGATTAAGTTATCAACTAACAAATAAGTTTACTGTAGTCTGCTTGATAATTCATCATCCCATGACCTTGTATAAAGCCTTGCAGCCCGTGATATCAAAATCTAAATTCTCGCGTTTAATATGTAGTTTTGGGTGTATGAGTAAATCACGATACTGATTGTGGTTGATTCTATCACCGCACAATTACATTACTTTTTAGCAATTACATTCGAATGAAAACGAGCAAACAGGACGAAAGGCTGTGGCTTTCCAGTAACCTGCTTTAATTCATATCTCCGTTTATTAAAATCCATACCTATCAAGGCACCAAAC